AGCCCCACGAAGAACCATTGAGCCAGCGGGGTCCCTCCAGACAATAAGCACGTACAATTCTGTCTGCGGCAGAGAGAAGTTCTAAGGGGGAAACCTAAGCAGGGTGGGGATATGAGTGGTGACGTGACGGGCAGGGGTGGTGTGTGTGTGTGTGTGTGTGCAGGGTAAGCATCCCAGCCAGAGTGCCATCCCAGAAAGCTCTGAGTGCAGTGAGTGAGGGTGTGCGAGCCGCAGAGGCCTCCCGGGAAGCAGAGTAAGGCCTTGAGGTGGGGAGGCGCTCGTGTGCTAAAACCTGGGGACTTGGCCTACTGCGGTGGGGACACCAGTGTCTTCGTATAGTCCTTCCCACCCGTTCCTCCTGGGTATTTGCTGAGTGTGGTGAAGAGTGAGAATGGGCTTTGCGGGTGGCCAATGAAGGGTAGCCTGGGACTACCATGTATTTACTATTTTGAAGCCATCCTTGCTTTCTGATGACATGTTTTAGTCCGGCACGCATGGTTCAGCTTTGTGCATGAGTGTTATAGAAAGGTTTGCCCTATCACCGGCCCCCACGGTGGTGTACATAGTGTCCGGATCACCTTAATCTGTATAAGTCAAGAATTCATGTATTGTGGTCTGAAGCCAACCTACAGGTGCATAATTTCCTTTTCTCAACAGTGTTTTAAATTCTATACTATTGGCAAAATTAATGACACTGCCAATAGAATATCTTATGCTCTGGGGGGCGGGGGTGGGGGTGGCGGCAGTTTATAATGTTCTGTATCATAAAATAATGATCTCTCTAAAGTGAATCAAAGGCATATATAAACCATAGATATATGAATGGACTTTGGCCTCCCACTTAATTCTAGTCCCAATCTAAAAACAATTAGTTTTTATGACATGGTCCTACTTGGTACTTGCCCTCATGAAGAGATCATTGGAGATATGGGTGCTACAGTAAAGTGTGGTGAAGAAACCAGAAGGTGCCCAGTTATCAGAAAGAATAGAATCAGGGGTTCTAAAGGCCTGTCCTCAAACAAGCAGCCATCTATGTGAGGTATCAACTAAGTCCACATGGAAGATGCACAACAGCCTGTGTTATCCAATGATTGTAAACATTTGCAGAAGGCTATGGATGACTATAGGAGTCTAAAATCCATTTGCAAAATCCATTACGCTTCCGGTGAATCCCCTCTGAACACAGTCCAGGGAAGTGACTAGCTTTGCGATCAGAGAACACTGTAATGTTACTGATGGCACATGTAGTTAGATGAAAGTGTAAACTTTCTCATTTAATCTTATTTTTGACCCATTTTAAAGTTTCAGTTTTTTCTATTTTCTGCTTTTCCTTTTTTTGTTTAGTCATTGTTGCTTGTTTGTTGCTTCCTGTTTGTGTTTTGTATGATTTTATGTAGATGAAACCCAGGATAGATAAATCTATAGAGACGGTAACTGGATTAATAATTACTTAAAGGTGAAGAAGCACACCAGCCTGTGTGATCATGAGGTGTCGATAGGATCAGGTATCAGGCATCAAAAATCCAGAACAAAAAAATTATATCATTGTGAATGAGGGGAAGTGGAGACCCAAAGCCCATCTGTAGGCAATTGGACATCCCTTTACAGGGAGGAGATGAGCCAGTCAGGGTGCAGTATAGCACCGTTCAAATATACAACTTTCCTCTAGTTCTTTAATGCTTCCTACCCTCCATTCTATCTTACAAATCTGGCTAGACCAGAGCATGTACACGGGTACAGATAAGAGCTGGAAACACAGAGAATCCAAGACAGATAAACCCCTCAAGACCAATATTGAGAGTAACCA